GGCCAACATGATGAACAGACGCCCCTGGGGCCCCGGTGTGAGCAGCAGTATCCCTGACACCCAGGAGTGAGACCCAGAGATTAGACCCATCCCAAGGAGCGACTAAGTGCAGAGACTATTCTGTAATAAAATGGGGTGGCATTCTCTTCCTGCCCCCAGAGAGGAGGAGTCCACGCTGCTGGGGTGCAGAGGACTCTGAGTTAGGTGAGAATGATGTTGGTATGATGCTTTTGAAGCTCATATCAACTCTCCCTTCACTGAGAAGCTTCTGTCTGTTCCCAGCAGAGCTGTGTGATAGGAAGGGCACGGAGCTTTGATTCCTAAGGCCTAAGCCTGTTCATAGTTTATATCATTAGCTGTGGGTCTGTGGTGCCTATCTCGCCTGCCCTGCCGAGAGGGCTGCTCCCACCCCCGACGGCCCTGCTCCCACCTCCGATGGCCCTGCACACCCTGGCCCTGTCTCCAGGGAGAAAGCCCAGAAGACCTGCTCCTCCCTCTCAGCCCCTACCTTGTTGAAGTTTGTGGGGGCAGATGTGGGATGAGCTTTTGTTTTTTCCTGTACCCCAAGCTATCAGCATTCCGTGCACCCTCTTTTCCCCACCTTTCATAGGGGATTTTGCCATTGAGTTTAATAAACTTTCAAAACACAGCAGTCAGAGACATTCCTCTCTCCCATCTTGAAAGTCCTATTTGTCTGCTGGTGTGGTTCGGGGCAAGCTTAAGTTAACCCAGTTACCACTCTGACCTTCTAGCTTCTGTGTCACCCTGAGAGGCAGGGGGGAAAGGATGGGCCCTGTTTCCAAGGATGGCCAAAACATCCTGAAAACCTTATAAAATCAGCCAGAGAGCAGTTTACTGAACGATTCTCTGGCCTCTAATCATTAGGCTGGCCCACCATTAGAGACACCGTCTTGGTGAGGCTTTGAGACACCATGGCTGGACTGCCTAGGCAGCTCTGGAGGCCAGTCTCCTCCCCCACATCCCTTTGGGCCACATTTGCTGGCTCAATCCAGTGTGGGTCCCCTTCCTCTAGACCAGCTGGCCCACAAAGACATGGGGGTCTGCTGCGTGCCTTCTGCCCCATCTCAGCAGCCCACAATGGCTAATAAAAGTCAAATCTTTTTATCACTAGGGCCAACACTGGAGGGAAAGGTCCCTGCTGTGTCCCAGGGTCCCAGTGTGTGTGTTGGGCGCATGTGTGTCTGTACATACACGTGTGTGGGGAGAGGCAGCTGAGCTCTAGCCAGGTGAAAACCAGTGGCCAGTTCCTGGCCACCACAAATTGGGGGGGGGGGTCTCCTGCATTCTTGTAGCTCACAGAAGGAAAACTGGTTCCATATTTTGGAGGGAAAAGAAAATGAGGAAAGCCCAGTAGCCTCCATCCCTGGCCGTGTTCTGGCCTGAGAATATGGTTTAAATTATTCTAGTCACAGGCAGGCTATTCAAATAAAATAGAATTTCAAACCGCACGGGGCTTGTTGAGACATTCAGGCTGCTCGGATGTGCGAGAGCAGGGGGAGGGCGGGACGGCCGCCACTCTGCTGTGCTCTTTATTACCAGCGGCCACAATGCCAGACACATCTGAGGGTGTCTCAAAGCGAAGGCGATGAAAGCAGGTCTGACAGCCAGCGAGCACGTGAGAGCCACCATGAGGCTCCCCTCTCTGGGGATGACTTTAATTATTTGAACTGGAGCTCAGCAAAATAAAAGCACAAATAAAATAAAATAAAATAGAAATATATTGCAAGTGGCTCCCCGGTTTCCAGCAGAGAAGAGCTTGTGGCAGAGAGGGGAGAACCAGAAGAAAACCAAACCCACGTGGCTTTCTCACGTTTATTGTTGTGTTTGGGGCTGGGTTAGGCAGAGGGCTTTAAATATTCATGCCCCATGTGCAACTGTGCAGAGAGAGAGAGAAGAGGTGGCCCGGCAGCCGTGGTGGCCAGTGAGAACCAGCAGCGGTGGCTTCAAGAATCTGGAGGGAGGAGGCGGGAGCCGGCAGGCTTCTGGACTTTCCTAGAAGTTGGGGTGGCACAAAGGTGTGCCCTGGTTCTGGCTCCATGTGGGTGGGGGTCTGACCTGGTTCCTCGTGCTCTCGCAGCCCCTTCTATCTGGGCTCTTCTCTCTCTACCCCCATCCATCATTTCTAACCCTTTCTCTGACTCATCTTTCTAAATAGAAAGTTATAACAGGTTATTTGGGGGGACAGGTAGTGGAGAAAAACTCTCTGCGTGGGCGCATAATCAGCAAAGCACACGTATGGCCCATAGCTCTCAAGCTTCAGTGTGCTGCAAATCTCCGAGGGTGGGGTTGAAAGTGCAGAGCCCCAGGCTGCACTTAGGGATGCCATCCAGTAGGTTCAGGGTGGGGCCAAGGACCTGCATTTATTGCATTTTCCAGGTGATTGAAGTTGAGCTAATAGTTCACTCATTTCACAGATTATGAAGGAATTTCTCTGACAATGATATCAATTCTCCTATTGGATTCCATTAATGATTGTGGGGTTTCTTAAGAAGCATTTTAAGATATTCTGCAGTTTCTCTAACTCCCTGAAGAGCAGGACTAAGCTAAGTTTAGAGAAGGTGGTGGACATTGTCACCAGAGCTCAGCTTGGCCGGATACCTGTCCCTATAGAGTTCACACTCCTCAGCGACCTTCACCCACAGGTCCACCTGGTGTCATCTTGCTGCACTGGGGCCCCACAGCCACCCGAGGCCCCTGTAGGTTGGGTGGGGTTTGAAAGCCCTGAGTTAACTTCACACAGTCCTCCAGAGCAATGTAATATCTGTTTCTTAGCAATTGGGGTTCAGCCAACCTGGGATGAGGAAATCAACTTCCTGCCTTCTGCATTTAGGATTTGAATAAAATAAATGATGGGGCTTACAAACCTGGAAAAATGCATATTTCTATTTTGGGTACTTGTTTTTCTGCTGAAAATGTTTCTCCCAACATTGGGAATTCAAAGACCCATCAGCATTAGATGAATGGTTTGAAAACCTGATGCAGAATTATGTGAATGTGAATATAAATATACAGAATGTGGATGTGGCATGGACTTACTCCCTTCCCTTCATTACGGCTGCTGAGCCAAGTTCTGGAAAAGGGCAGGGAGGAGTAGAAATAGCCCAGAGCAAATTTGACTGGAGGAAAAATAAAACAGGCCAGTAAAACAAAATACCTGTTTAAGCTATCGATCAACTCAAAGGTTATCAGAGAAATGATGAAGTATTAGAATAACATCATTTTTACCTTGACATTTCTTTTTCTGAAATTTGGCTCATATTAAATCCCGTGAAGAATAAATTTAAATACCACATGCTAAAGGATCCTCCTGCCCTCTTAGGTGGGCCAACCCTCTGTCCTCAGCCAGGTTCTCTCTTAAGAGGCTTTTCTTTCTAGGCACCTGCTCTCGGCACCTGAGAAATATCAGCAGTGACTGTGTAATTCCACCACGGGCATCAGACGGCATGGTTTCTCAAACACAATTTAATTTAATTAATGTATTTATTTGTGCCCAGACTGTTTCCAAAAAGGATTTCAGGTGGCTCACAGAGATACACAAAATCAGGTGAGAAAATATGAACTAGAAGAGAGTAAGATGGGGCAAATGCCACTGGATGAAATCAAACCAGGCGAGGCTGCTGCTGAGCACACATCCCTAAGTCCTATTTGCTTACCAGGTGGAGCCTCAGTTTTAATTTAACCATTCTTCTGATTAAAAAATGTCTTATCTGTAGGTACATCTTATGCCATTCTTACTTGTTTTATGTCTGCGAGTATTTATTTTACAAGAAACCTGCAGGGCTTGAATTTGCTTGTGTCCCTTAGCCTGGGGAATGCTGTACTCTGGACTTCTGCTGGCCAGTCCTCCCTGCCATTTCTACCAGCCCAAGGAGGGGGAATGAATCTGGTCAGTTTCACAGTGTCCACACCTTGACAGGAAACAAATTGCTCAGAGGGTGCAAAGCTATTCTTGAAACTAAGCCAGTTAGCAAATTGTCCTGCGAGTTTCCAGAAAGAGAGGACTGGCCAGATCTAAACTATGTTGATTTTCTACTATGTGTGCGGTGCTGATGCAGGTGCCGTGCGGGATTGCAGAAGGCACAAGGCTCGGCCTGGTCTCTGGGAGCTTGGAGTCTGGTTTTTAGCTAAAGTCCTTTTCCTCTTCCCTCGCTCTCCTTCCGAATGTTTACACATGTGTGCAGCTAATGTAGTGCTTACTTATTTTTGCCAGATGCTCTTCTAAGCCCTCTACATGTATTGCCTATTTAATCTTCACTCCTCTGGGCAGGAACTTAGAGTGTCCATTTTCCAGGTGAGGAAACTGAAGCTCTGAAAGATAATTAACTGCCCGAACAAACTGTACAGCCAGTCAGTGGTGCAACATGGCTCGGACTTGGGTGGTTGACTCCAGAGTCTGTAGGCTTAATCTCTGTGCCATAATGACATCTTAAGCACATTTCTTGGCCCCTAGACAACATGACTGTATGCTAAGGAATGTGGAGCCAGGCCCACCATCCTCCCCACTAACGAGATAACAGTTTTAGGAATCATTGGGGTAAATGGCTTTGGAGGTACCACACTGATGTCACTGATGTCTTGGTGAAATTTATATAAATCAAATTTTTGATTCTCGATAGTATCTGAAATGTAAGAGCTTAATATTTTGAAAAAGGAATCTGCAGAAAGTCTTTTGTGAATCCTTGTTACTGTCCCCTATTAGGCCGTGGGAAAGCCTCCCTGGATTTGCTTAAACATGGGTCCTACTGCAAGTAGCTCAGTGCAGCTGACTGCGCGTGGGGGGGGTATCATGGTCTGCAGGTGGGATTTTACCACATGGATGGACGTGCTCTCCCTAGAAGATGGCAGAGATGGCCCTCGTGTCCTTTCCCCAGGAGAACACCCAGCCCAGCCTCACAGGATGCTTCTTAGCCTGTTTGGGCTCATCTGGAGGTGACAGGAGGTGGGAGAAGCCAGACAACTAGAGGAACACAGGGACTTGCCTCACACGGAGAGTTCTTCATCGGTGCAGGAAAGGTGGTGCTAGTCACTGTGGCGCTTTCAGCCGCGGGGACATCAGTGGTGCTGAGCAACAGGGCATGGCCTGGGGACAGGAAAAGAGCCATGAATGCACGAGCATCAGGAATGGAGGGTCTAAGAGGGTTGAGGGACTGGGCACAGCTCTCGGATAGACTAGCTGGATATTTGAAGACACTGGCTTCCGGCCTATAGTGAGGAAGAAAGCCTCCGTGTCATCGTCAGTAGAATCTGGCTCATGTGAAAAGTTATTCCTTCAAACCGTGTGTGAGGTCCCAGGGACAGACATCTGGGCTGCTGTATCCCTGACCTTCTAAGGTCATGAGCTTCCATCTGAAGCACACTCATGTCAATTCATGGCCTTCTGATGGCTTCTGCGACCTTTACCTTCCTCTTCTGTGTTCAGAGCCCAGGTCATCCTGTGCCCCATACCCTGCCTGGGGAGATTCCCTTCTTGTGTTTGCTAAGTGCTGCTGTGCCTGAACACTTGGGAGGACAGGAGTCCCCAACCCCATGTGGTGGCAGGAAGAAGAATCTGTAAACCTTTAGGAACCGAGGAATGTTTTGTACACGGCCAATGCTATGGACACAGGTACCAGTGAGAGCTCACGACTCTTCAGCGGCCCAGAGATCGTCAAGCATGACTTTAGTCATTCCTCTCCTCCTTACTCTCTTAGCAAAGTCTGCTAGTGATTTACTATCGGGTCATAAATTCAGGTGAGTCCAGAGCAGAGTAGCAAGGACAGGCTGGAGATCTTAGCCAGCATGAGGAAGACTCAGGAGGCTGGGGTTATGTGACTAGGGATAGAAAAGCTCCCATGGGGTGAGGGGGTCAATATCTGAAGGGCTACTTTAGGGGCAAAGGGGATGGTTCAGTCTATGGGTCCCCAAGAGAAACATCATGACCACTGAGTAGAACTTGAAGGGTGGTGGCACTTGTCTCCGGGGGAGGAAAACTTTGTGGCAATTCCAAGCTGGTAAATGACGGCCAGGCTGCAATGGGGGGCAGTGAGAGCCCTGCCACTAGAGGTGTCCATCCAGGGCTTATGGGAGCTGAAGGGGGAATTAGCTGAGAGCAGAGACATTAAGATCACATCTAGCTTTGAGCTTCACCTTTCTGCTCCCCCTAGGACAGGGCGTTCAGGGTGATGTTGCAAACTGTGGAGGCCCCAGGGAGAAGTAGAGGCCCCCAGGCCCTCCACACTTGGTGAGGGGCCCCTGAAGAAGTCTCTGAGGCTGCAATGACTCAGCCTTCTTGCTAGTGGGGCCACTGTGAGAGTGTCCTGGCCCTCAGCCAACCTGCTCAGATGCAGCTGGCTCTGGAGACTGAGCACAGAGCTGCAGGGGCAGCAGAGCTGCAGGATCCTTTGTGGTGGGTCTGGATTTTGTCTTCTCTTACACTTGTTATTCTTGTTTCTAAAAATAACCCATAGGATAGGTGATCTTATCTTGGACAGAGAGGGATTTAGGTATAAGGAAGGGTCTCTAGGCAAATGCAGGGGAGGAAAGAGGGAGAGGGACCTTCCCAGCCACTAGCTCTGCCCTGCAGAAAGGTGGGCACCAGGGTGCAACCCAGGGCTGGGCTATGGCTGGCCTTGCAGACCCTCTTCTGTCCCACACCCTGCCCCAGCTGGTGTCTTTGGGTCTGCAGGCAGCTTCCCGAGGTGTGGGTGACCATATCTCTGGTATGTGGAGGCCCTTCGCTGCTACGGGGCTTTCAAGGGAGTGGGTTCCAGCCAGGGTAAGACAGGCATTGCCAACTCAAGTCAGGGGTGGGGATAGAGGTGGGAGGAGGCTGAGGAAGCCATAGGGGATAAACCAGATGGGGGCCAGAGTTCAAATGACCCAAGCCTCCCTAGGTCCCAGGTCTCTTGTCAGTCTGTTCAGACATTGGATGGGCACCATGGATAAGGGAGGAGAGGGGTAGTACCTTTCTGATCCTGGAACAGTGCATCCTTGAGGGTCCTGACCTGCCACTGAGGAGTGTGGGGTGACAGTGTGCCTGGGGTCCAGCCACAGAAGCCTTCCTCAAAGTTGCAATAAAAACCAGCAGGGAGTTTACCTGTGGAGAGAGCACAGGGGCACTGTCATTTCCAGGACCGCTAGAGGCAAAATATGCCAACGTCAAGTCCAATTAGCCCAGCATGACCAAGTTATTTAATATCTTCATTAGTAAAAACTCCCTGGCTGGAATGCTTGATGTCTAATGACATGAGAGAAGCTCTAAGCCCTCACTTGTGCATACGCTGCTTTATAATTTTCTGATCTTCAGAAAATAAAATAGTAATAACAACGTTTCCACAGCATGGGTATTGTTAGCCCAGTTTTGCATTCGACAAAGCAGAGGCTCAGAAATGTTAAGTGAGCAGACCAAGGTCACACAGATAACCCACCTGGACTCAGACTCAGACCATGTGCTTCTAATTTCAGATCTCTTTATACTGATCCACCATGAGTGTGGGCCCAGGAGAAGCCTACGTGTAACTCACTAGAATACATTTCCAATGGAGGACGCAATGACAAGAGAATACACAGAGATAAAAGGGAGGTGATGGTGGTTGTGCTGGCTGGGGGTTGGTTGGATGGCGCATGTCACCCCTGTCTGCAGAGACACATAGTGTTCAAGCCTCTTTATTCCCCAACCCCCTTGCAGTTGAGGGACGCCATATGACACACTCTAGCTAATGAAATGTGAGGGGAAGTGATATGCATCTCATCCGGCTTGAGGCTGTGAAAGCCCTGGGGTAAATCTGCAGTCTCTTTCTCCGCTGAAGTGACCAAGGAGAATTCTCCTTCCTGAGGGCGCTGCTATGTTGATGGAGGAGACTCTGCCAGCCTGGGTCCCTGTGTGATCCTGTGGAGCGAGTTCCTGCCCCAGCCCACCCCTCATTGGACAGGTGCTGTAAATGTCATCTTAAGCCGCTGAAATATGTTACTGTAGCGTAACCTGGCTAATCCTGATCAAACGGTTCCAGTCACTGGGGTCTCTTTATATCATCTCAGGCTCAGCAAAAGGGGCCTGTAATCCTTTCCTAGCCATCAGACTGATCACAGGTCCCATTGAGGAACCCTTTTGAGACTGTTATTTCCCCACTGCCCGCAGGAGGAGGAGGAGGAAAGGAGAAGAGGCCTAGAGAGAGCTCACTTTCTCCGGCTGGCTCCGACAATGGCTCCAGGCAAGGCTCTCAGCTTCCAGGAACTAGTGGGCCATTCCAGGCTATTCCATTAGCACCAACAGCCCCAGACCTGGCCGTGGAGAAGCCTGTGTCTCCCGTAGGAGGAAAGACGCTTTCTCCTGCACTCCACGCTGTCTTCTCTCAGCCTTCTTGGCAGCGGCAGGCTGACAATGAGGCCCTAACGCTTCCTGGCTGTGACAGCACCTTCGTGAATTATTACTCACTTCCCCCTCGATTCTCTGTGCATTTCACACGGAGGCAGAATTATAAATTAAAACAGGCTGTCACTGACTTTGAGCATCTCTTCCCATTTATACCCCCCTGAAGAAATCCCTTTCCCTCAAGCCTCACATGTTCCTCTGATTAAAACTCCCAAAGCGAAGGAGAACTTTCTGTTTTATTCTTTATTCCCCCCTCAAGGGATCCCGCATTCACTTCTGCAGAAATCAACTGGTGGCTGGAAGTGACCTTCTCATGGAGTGCCCTTCACAAGTGAGCTTTAAACACCAGGGCCCGCCCTGGAAGATCCCAGCAGGCTTGGGCTGCAGGATGGAGGAGGAGGCAGGGCTGCCCCAGAGCCTGCCAGCACGTCATTCTCCTCATCTTCCAGCAGGTGGGGGCGTGGAGAGAACAGAGCCTGACTGGTGGTGTTGGAACCACAGGGGCACAGGAATCTGGACATGAGGGTTCTAGATCTGGCCTCAGCACGCCCGGCTGTGTGACCTTGGACACATCATTTCCTTTCTTAGAGCCTCAGATGCCTCATCTCTAAAACGGGGCAATGTTAGTATCTATTTCACTGGATTGGTTTGAGGATAAAATAAGGCAGAGAGTACAGAAGCACTCTGTAAACAGCTGGAGTGGTGCAGATACAAAGTGGTGGTAGCATTATTAATGCTCATTCACACCTGACTTAGGGGAAGCAACTCATCACATGGGCCGAAACAACCAACAGGTCCCTGGCTGCCTCTCTGGAAATGCCTCCAGGGGCCACACGTGTGCTAACTGTGCCTCTGCCTTCCATCTGGACAGGAACAAGGAAAGCCATTGGCATTCTCCATCTCTGGGAGATGTTTTAGCTTGGCATAGGATCCAGGGTGAGCTGAAATTGGAAACCCCATTTCTTTTTGGCTAATTGAATAAAGGGAGAGGAGCCAGGCAAACTAGCAAGATGACAATTTATGTGACAATGAAAACCTTGAAGAGAGGAAGAGGCGCTGGGAGCATTTCCATTGCTCTAAACTTTCTATGCTTAGAAAGAAGCCACTCTCAAGGAGGCTGGTGGAATTAGGGTTAGGTAGGGGTCAGCCGAATTTGGAAAATTACTGCTAAGGCCAGTTGCCGAGCAAAAGATTGGCCCACAGGGTTGGGTCTAATGGTGTCAACTCATCCTTTGATCATGCTTTTCTCTTCTCATTCGCCCCAAGTACCTGCTCAGCACTTGGCACATTGCTGAACAAAGGGTTCTGTCCTCTAACCCTTTGCCACTCGAATGGTGGTCCAGGAACCAGCGGTATCCACATTATTTGTGAAACTGTTAGGAGTATGACGTCTCAGGCTCCACCCCAGCCTACTGAGTCAGAATCTGCATTTTAAACAAGCCCTCTTGGTGGTTCTCTAGCATTTGAGAAGCACTGCCCTCACCAGCCCCCCTTTTGGCCTGTAGCCAGTTATTTCATTGGCTGGACGGCCAAACCGGGCTGTGTGTGGGTCAATCAATCCTGCAACATTCGGCAATTATGACAGCTGATTCCACTCTAAGAGAGACAAATTGGTAGAGTCATAGAGATGTGACCTCGGCAGCAGCCATGGGAGCTGCCAAGTATAAACTCTGGGCCAAATGACAGTACTTCTTTTCCTTCTTGTGTGACAACTCTGTTAACAGTTTTGATAAATATGTGTTATACATTTTATTGAACATATAGAGTCATGGGAAAAATGCTAGAAGAAATATATCAAAATATTATGGTTATCTCTGAATGTCTGAGAGGGAGGATTACGAGCAATAGTATTTTCTCTTGTGCACTTTTCTAGATTTTCCAAGTATTTTACAACCAGCATGTTTATTTTATAATAAAAAATAAACTTTAAAAACAATTGGGCTCTCCTGGTAGGAAAAGCATCCATACAAAATAGGTGAGGTGATCAAGTCCGTGGAGGGGTAGTGATCTGCCTGCAGTTCCCAGGGAGTCGTTGCCCCATGGCGAGTGAAGGGGGGACACCCAGCCCCTTTCTGCAGGGCCACATGCCACTGAGGCCATTGGTTAGGACACACAGGGAACCTAGATGACCCCCCTTCAATGCACTATTGCATCTGTGGTGTCTTACTTGGATTTGGCAATGTTTAATTGGAAATGTAGAGGTGTCTGTGTCTGAGAGGGGAAGGAGAGTGGCATGCTGGGGTGTGGTTTGGAGGAGGGGTGTCATAATTTGTAGAGAAGGGCAGGGGGATGCCACCTCTACCTCAGGCCCTCCACTCAGCCCACGCAACCCCTGGAGGAGTTAAGGGTTGCAGAAAGATTAATAGTGTTGCACAGGGGCATCTGATAGTCTGCAGGCAACCTGAGAGTGGGCAGGAGATGCCTTCTAGGGAAGGCGTGGGGAGTTGGGGCTGGCCCTTTGGTGGAATGAGTTGACTTAATGTAACCTAATTTTTCTCTCCAAATTCCAATCATGGCAGGATGTGCTCAACTACCCTGGCCCAACATTAGCGACCCTCATGAGAGTTCTTTAGAGGACCTGGACATCCCCAACAGAGCTTCAGTGTGAACACCTGCTCAGAGAAAACATTACAGGTTCCCAACTACCTGGGAAAGACAAGTGCAGTCAAGAACATTTCCCTGTGACATTGATGTTGATTCTGGAACCATCCACATGAAGACAACAACAACATTAATAACATGGCTGCTATTTGCTGAGCATTTATTATGTGCCAGGAGGGGCTCTGAACATTTAGTGTCAACTGGCATCGTGTTATAGATGAAGAAACCTAGAGTCAGAGAGGGAGGCAGGTGATCTTATCCCCACCTCCACGAGGGAGCAGTGCCTTGGTCCCCTGACTTGTCCTGGCCCCTTCATCTTGTGTGGGTCTGTAGCTAGGTTTAGGGCTTAGTACAACCAAGTGCTGGAAACTCACAAAAAAAAAAAAAAAAAAAAATGAGCTTGGCCTGCAGAGGTTCCGAGTGAGGCTCTGAAGGCAGGCCACAAATCCTAGCTCTGCCTCTTACACACCATGTGCTTTGTCATGAGAGCAGTCACACATGTCACTGAATGTCAGGAAGGCTGTCCAAGCTCATCTGTCTGGGGACATGGGGGTAGGAGGGGGCTGTGGACATGGGCTGGGCAAGGAGGAGAGGGGGTGGCCCCAGCTACTCACGGCATAGCTGTCCCTCGTCTTCTCCCTGGGCGCAGTCCTGGTGGAAGTCACAGGCCTGCCCAAGCTGGAGGACTGTCCCGTTCCAACAAGTGAAGGAGCTCTGCAGGGCCATCTTGGAGCCTGGGGTTGTTCCTGGCAAGCACACAGACACACAGAGGTCAGTTTGGGTCCAGGCACCATCTTGGTGGTACCCAGTGCTAATCAGTGCCCCCCTCCATCCCACCCACCTCAGTGCTCAGCTGCGTGGGGAAAAGATGAACAAGGCCCCATTGGGCTGTGTTTCCCAGCCTCTCTGAGCCCCACATAGCGGTGAGCTTTTTCAAATCAGTTCCTGCTGATTCTAATGTAGAATTGTCTAGGGTAGGTGATATCTAATATCTGAAATTCCATGGCTTACTGGTTCACTGACTTGCTCCCCATAGCACTGACAGCAACATCAAGTCCAGTGTGATCACTTCTGGAATTCCTCTGTCTGTCTAGCAGTCCTGCTTATGAGGAAGGTAGGAAGATCTTTACAGGGCCCATTTATTAATTGAGGTCACTGAGGTCAAAGAGGTTTAATGACTTGTCTGAGATCACACAGCTGGCATGTGGGATTCAGACCCAGGCTGTCAGGCTGTAAAATTGCTTTCTCCATCATGGAGGGTGATGGTGGAGGTGGCCTTGTGCCCTCTTTCCTAGAAGAGGTTCAGTCTGTCAGATGATAGCAGATAACCACCTGGCATTGTCTGACTGGCCCCCAGCCTAGCTGGGTATTCTCTGCAACTCCTGGGCATTAGGAAAGTGCCTCCCTTCCGTCCAGGGTATCCTATCTGAACACTCTAACCTGCTCATCAAAGTCCCCTGTGATCTGGCACAAATTACCTGTGCTGTCTCATGTCTCTTTGCCTCTCCCCATGGACCTGTGTGGACCCCCCAGGGGACACAGGTAATGTCATGGTCATGTGATAGTATACCCCATGCCCAGCTGCTGCAAACCCTGCCTAAGTCCAGCTCACATACTCTGCCTGTGACAGTCTTCACAGCTTCCTGCAGCACTCACTCATTTGGCCTTGGTTCCAGGAAACCTGCCTCTAGAACATGGGTGCCACATTCCCAACTTCCCCATCACATCGTGTGAGCCTCCTCCTGCCCTGCCCAGTGCCTGGCCCCACGGGGCTCATGATCATCTGAAGCCCAGCATAGCAAGTTTAGACCAACCTCTCAGTTGTTTAACTTGTTCTGGGACTAGGCCTTTGCAGTTTTCTGAACTAGTTACCTGTACCCCTTTCTTCCTCACAGAAAGAAAAACATCAACTCCATCTCTCCCTGTGCCTTAAGACAGCCCAAGGCAATATTGCTCCTCAATAACTTAAAGGTTGAAAACTCACCCTGCCCCTACCCCCAATTCTAAATATAGTTGACCCTTGAACAAGGCAGGCTTGTATTTCATGGGTCCACTTACAAGCAGGTATTTTTTTTGCTGTTTTTGGTCGGGGCTGTGTTTGAACCTGCCACCTCTGGCATATGGGGCCAGCGCCCTACTCCTCTGAGCCACAGGCACTGCCCACAAACAGGTATTTTTTAACTGAAGGCAGGTTGAGAACAGCATTGGCAGGCTGAGGGCTCCGTGTACACAGAAGGCTGACTTTTCGTATATGTGGAGTCTGCAGAGTGGCCTGGGGGACATGGGTATTCACAGATTTTGGTAAACCCTGGGAGGGGAGGGTCTGGAAGCCCATGTACACCAAGAGACTGAGACAAACACAGGATCAAAATACTAATGGAAGGGCAGGAAGAGATACAACACTCATTTTGAGAGGCAAAAGCTCAAGTTCATTTTGTACCCTTCATTCTGGGTGTTAATTCTCCATCTTCACTCGTGTGTTCTTTTTTTTTTTTTATTGTGGGGATTCATTGAGGGTACAAAGATCAGGTTACACTAATTTCATTTGTCAAGCAAAGTCTCTCTTATAAATGTGTTCCTTCCCCAAGAGGTGTGCCAAACACTGTGACCCCCACTTCCTCTCTCCTTCCCTCTCTCTGCTCCCCCATTCCCCCACCCCCACCATGTACTAGGTCATCAATTGTCCTCATATCAAAATTGAGTACATTGGATTCTTGCTTCTCCACTCTTGTGATGTTTTACTAAGAAGAATGTGTTCTACCTCCATCCAAGTTAGTACAAAAGATGTATAGTCTCCGTCTTTTTGAGTGGCTGATTAATATTCCATGGTATATATCTACCACAGTTTGTCAATCCATTCCTCAATCAGTGGGCATTTAGGTTGTTTTCACATTTGGCAACTGTAAATTGAGTTGTGATAAACAGTTTAGTACAAGTGTCCTTATGGTAAAACAATTTTTTTTTTCTTTTGGGTAGATGTCCAATAATGGGATTGCAGGATCAAATAGGAGGTCTAGTTTGAGGATTCTCCATACTTCCTTCCGTAAAGGTTGTATTGGTTTACAGTCCCACCAGCAGTGTAAAAGTGTTCCCTTCTCTCCACATCCATTTATGCGTTCTTGAAAACTGGGAGGTAAAATTCTGACAAACTGGTGCTGGTCCAGCAAAGATGGCCTATCCCTAACAGTTTAGAGCAGAGGAGATGGTCTTGCCTGGGACACTTACTTTGGGGTTGCCTTGAAGGGGTGAGGGTGGGGGTGGTGGCTTCAGGATGTGTCCCTAAGACCAAGAACACACCAGGAGCTGCCCCTGCCTGCTCACTAAACTTGTCACAAGCAGGGCAGGGGAGCTCTGTCATTTCCACTCGGCAGGAGGAAGTGGGGAAGCACAGCCACATAGCTTGTCCTCTCGGCCTCTCTTTCAGGGCACAGGGAGTTAGAGTAAGAAGAGAAATTCTTTCTATTTGCTCGGTGATTTCCTTTCAATTTTTCTTCTTATGTCTTCTCACAAGAGATTCTTAAATACAGATAGGCCCTGATTACCATCACCACCAGCCCTGCCATAACAAAAAAGCAAACTCAACCTACAGAACAAATCTAAGCTAGGTGGTGTTTTATTCACACCTTATGTCCCATGGTGCGTCTTCATGAACACCAGAGTGTTACACCAATTACTTGTCACTCCCCAAATAGATCTTACAGCTTCTTTCACTTTCCTTCATTCTAAAAATATAAGTCAATTGTCTCAAGTTCAAAACCAGGGTAAAAGAAACAAAAATAACTCCCTGAACCTCATCACACAGAGGCCATCATTTTTAACATCTCGGTAGATTTCTCTTTAGTGTAGTTTTTTTCTGCCTACACTTTAAAAGCGTGTATAGTTGTGTCATCTGAATACAGACTTTCAAATAATTAAGGTTGTATCACAAGCTTTTCCAAGGGCTTTAAAATTATCCATAAAATACTTTTTAATGGCTACAATACTGTGCGCCATGTCCCATCATTTATTTAAACATTATTCAACGATTGGATTGCTATTCCTTTTTACAATAACACTTTGAAGAATATCTTTGAGCATAAACCTTTGCCTGCATTTCAGATTATTTTCATAGGATAGATTCCCAGAAGTGGAATTACTGAATAAAAAGGTATAAACATTTTAAAGGCTCCTGATACACATTGCCAAATTGCTTTCTAGACGTTAATCCCATTTATGCTCTTCACCAGCTGTGTTCACACACGCACGGCCTCACGCTACGTCCTGGCTGACCCTACGTATTATCATAATTTTTATTTTTAACTAAAGGTATCTCCCTGGTATTTTATTTTGGATTTATTTGATAGTCAGAGAGGTTGGTTGGTTTTTTTTTTTTAATGTTATCAACTTTTATTTTTTCAACTTTGGTTTTTAGGGAATTTGCCACTTCCTCGTGCCAATTTATCTATTAGTTTCTTTGTGTTTTCATATCGAGTTATATGAACTCATTAATGACACATTTGATCATTTTCCCCAGGATTTTGTGCATCTTTTCATTCTCTTTGTAATGTATTTACATAAACATTTTACAATTTTATGTAGCCCACACATAGGCATATTTTCCTGGGTGATTTCTTCTCTTTTATCGAGGCCTAAAGAGGTTGCCCCACATGGGATCAGCAGGTAACCTGCAGGTCAACCTCTGGACGCCGGGTTGCCCTCTCCTCTGGGAGTGCTGCCCACCAACTCCTCACCTTTCAGCCCTGGGGATCTAGGTCTCACCACCTCATCTGGGCCATTTTCATGGATTCTCCCCCTTCATGCACGATCCTTTCACTCAAGCACATTACTTCTTGAGTTGAATGTGGCAGACATGCCTGTCTTTCTACCAGGTAAGTGGACTGAAGTAAGTGACTTGCATTGAAAATATCTGTTTTACCTTCAAGAGCCTACAACAGTGCCTGAGGTATAGACCTCTCCACCACATCTCAACGTTTGGGAATTGAATTGACCTTGTGTTTTATCTGAGGAAGGTATCATCACGCCCATTTTATAGTTGAGAATTCCAAGGCTCAGAGTGGTTACAAGGCTTGCTGAGGGGTGGGTGGGAACCCACCGCTTTGGACCCCTTGTTCTCTATCCTTTATGCTTTGTTTGTTAGGGTCATCCAAGAGGCAGGAGTCCTCAGGAGTGGGGCCGGTGGGTATGGAAGGTCAAGGAGTTGGCATCCCTGCCCTCCATCCAGGAACCTTGATAAAGGAGGGGGTTCAGGAATGGGGGCAGTACTGCTTCCACTCTGGCTTCCCAGGATTTTGCCCCCCCAGACTTCTCTGATGCACAGCAGAGCCCAGAGAGGCTGGCCCTTTCAGCATTGCTTCTACCAGCTCCTCCCTACCTCCTTCCCAGCTAGAGACTTCCAGGCTCCCTGGCACAGCCTCCTCTGTCCCGCAGGGAGCTTTGTGCTTACGAGAGATTCAATTAGATGGATGCTGGCACTCTGATCTCCGCTGCCAGCCCAAACTCAGAACTAATGAGGCACAACAAAAAACAACCGCTCTGTCTTCTTAAGTTCTCTTTTTATGGAGCACATAAATTCTAAGGAGGAAAGCGCTATTGGTTTTAATCGAGAGCCTGAGTTTTCTAAAGAGCATCCTTTCTGTGGTTACACACAATGATCGTTTTGGCCTATGGAGTGGTGTACCCTGAGGCCCTGGAGGGTCACAGCCTTGTCTCCAGAGCAGTGAAGAAGGGGCAGGGGCTTGATTGACAT